TTTTACTAATTCAGATTTAGAGAGTATATTGTAATAATTTAAATAAAATAATTATTTAATTTCCTTTTTTGGGATTAAGAGAAAATTTCCAAAAATGTACAAAAAAAAAAAATATTTTTTGTATACACAATTCATTCACGTGAAAAATAGTATATAACTGTTAAATGTCAATTAGATAATTGTGTGTGTGAATGTATATTGCCAAAACTATATAAATGTACATGTATTTCGTATATACACAGGTATTTGATATAGATTGGGTTAGCGGCTTCTTTGACATTTAAAAAACCGGGTTCGCTGACCACTTATGGCTCAACTGTATAAGTGATCGAGTCCAAGAAATTCTTCAACGTGTATGTATATATATATATATAATGGGTGATATATGCCTTCAAGATAAATCAGATATATTTCCAATTCCCATCGAAAAAAGTCGAAAAAAAAAAATTTTTTGTAAAAAAAAACTGCTTCAAATATTCAAAAATCAATAATAGTAACCGAAAACTTTTATAGATTTTTTTTACCATAGAATTAATTTTATTTTTCAATTTTCAGTTGAAAAGAGAAAAAATAAATTTTTATTTATTAAATTTTGAAAAATTTCAAACCACATTTGAATTATTGAAAATAAAGTAACACAATGCAATGGCATGCTGATTGCTGAGTCATGAAATACATGTGAGAGGAATGTATATATATACTGATGGAATGTCAATCGTGTTTTTTAGATTATCAGCCTCGTCATTTTGACACTTTTTTTTTTTTTTTTTTGCCAATAACTGTTCATTACGTACAGGTATAAAAATTTTTTTGATTTCAATTTTTTTTCAATTTCAATCATTTTTTTGATTAATAGAAAAAAAAATAATCCACAGGCGAATCAAAAAAAAAAAAAAAAAAAATTATCTCAAAAAAATACAAAAGAAAATAGAAATAAATTTTCTATTTTTTTAATTAAAAAAAAAAAATTTAAGTTAAAAATATATTTTTTGGAAAATAAAATTTATTGAACTGCTGTTTCAAATTTCCAAAACGATTTAAAGAACAAAACTGAAGAGTTTAAATTACAAATTCATATATCGAATTACTTGGAGAGTAAGCACTCTTTTGTATAAGAGGCGAGAGAGAGAAAGAGAGAGAGAGAGAAAGGGAGGAAGAGATCAATGTAATTAGTACATATATTCGAACTAGCTAATCATTTGAGTTCTAGGTTCATGACTTTAACCTTGACAAACTGGAAATGCGGCCTTGCGGTGCACATTGCGCAACTATATATTCCATACGAGAGAGGTCGACGACTACTTCAATGTGTCGTCGTTCTCTCCATCCGTGAAAAGCCCTCACCAAGATATATACTCATTCAATCGATTTTCAAAGACGACGAGAGATAACTAGAATTACTTTCAATATAGAAAAAATGATAGGAGATAACATTTTTTGTCAAAGAAAGATTAATCAAAGAAATTGAAAAGAAAAAAAAAACCTCCCAATTTATTCTTATCCATACAAAAAAAAAAACCTTATCTTTTCAATAAATTCTCTTTTTTATTACAAAATTCGAAAAAAAATAATTTTATTGTATTACCGATTTAGAAGGAAAAAAAAACAATCATTGATATTTAAAATTAACTTTGCGGAGAAGAAAAAACAAATAGGAAAAATTTGCTATTTTAAAAAAATTTATGTATTTTTAAATATATATATAAATTCTCCGGGGATTATTTGTGTTTAATTTATACGACAAATTCTTTCATTTTATACAATAAAGCGTGATTTACAAACCACAGAAATGTTAAAAGGGGGGAAAAAATATATATATTTCGAATTGATTAAGTAATATAATAATATTCTTCCGAAAATTATATAATTTTTCAAGAATTGAAGGGACTTTTGATATAAAAATAAAATTTAAGGGTCATTCAAAAAGACCCAAATCAAGATATTCAATGTAAAAAAAAGTCACGGTCGTTCACGACATGTGTTTAAAACAAAAAAAAAAAAAAAAAAAAAAAAAGAAAGAAAAAACTTAAGAACATTTATATGTATATCGTAGAGGGTCGATGGCCTGGTATATATTTCTTGTTGCGTATTTCTATCTTTACTATTACGCATCACCTTTTTTTACAAACACACACACAAGTCGGAAACAGGAAACAAATTTTATATATATTATATTAAAACTATATACTGATTCAAGAATAAAGAAAAATTGTCTTGAGCACGTGGAGAATGGTCCGAAATTCAATGAACCGAATAAAACATTTTCAAACTGAAGGTTACACATATACTATATATGTATATATATAAATCCCTCATTTAATTACCCGAAATGATTTAAAAGAAGATTACAAATACCCATATAAATAAATTTAAGAAAATTATATTTTGATACAAGATTTCATCATTCAAATATTATAGGCGAAAAAAAAAAAGAATTTATTTTAAAAATAAAAAAAATAATCAAAAATGAATAAAAAAAAAAAAGAATTAAAAAATATATCGGAATAAATATTTATTTGATTTAAAATAAATTTAATTAACTTCAATTTCAAAAATTTTTTTTACATTTTTTTTTTTAAATTTAATTGAGAAAAAAATATTTTATTAACAGATTGATTTGTGATTTTTTTGTGAAAGCAGTTAAAAAAATTATCAAATTTAAAAAAAATTACAAAAAAAAACCCCTGAATTTTTTTTTCCAGGTAAAATTGAAATAAAAGTTATACAAAAATTATATTTATATAGAAAATTGTAACCGCACTGTTATTAGGTTATCTCTTTTAGAGAAAGTTCAATGAAATAGTTTAAAGATAAATATTTGAATATACAATATTATATGCCAACTTTCAACATATTATTACCATTTCATTTATATAGAATGAAAAATAAATACATAAAATAATTATAGAAAGACAAAAGAAAAATAACTGGTATATAAAATAAAAATATTTATTATTCTACTATTTTACTATTCTATTTTAATTTTTAGTTTTCTAATTAAGAGAGTAATTATAATGTAAAAATCCAAAAAGATGTAAATGGAGAGAAATAATAAATAAATATTTATGTAAGAAAAAAAAAAAATATTTTGTATAGACATTGAATTGAATCGAATATTTTGCACAATTTTCATTTAACCGAATTTTCAAAAATATTACAAGAGGGCGAAAATGAAAAAAAGGAATTTTTTTTTTTTTGAAAAAAAACGTAGAAGTGAATTATTTTGTAATTTTTGTATCATGAATATTACTTTTGTGTGTATGTAGAAAATGAAATGCGAATCGAAAAGATGAATATTTCCGGTGGAAATTTCATAACAATACACACACACAAATGCGAAAAAAAAGAAAAAAAAAAAAAAACGAGTGAAATTTCATTAAAATGTTCAATCGAGTTCGTTCTCACGAATCAACGATTGTTTTACAAATGCGTATCACGTACACGAGCCATCGAGTACGTTGAAACTACTCTGAATTCAAGGACTAGCTTTTTTTTTACATACTACTTCTATATACGCTTGAACCCGAACTATGAACGAATTAACTTACAACTTGTCACATGATAGCGTAAAAATGTTTCTACAATTATAAAAGACCTTCTTCTTTCAATCTTATATATATCATCACACGACAATAAAAAAAAAACCTATAAAAAGAAAACTAGGCTGACACAAAAAAAAAGTTATCATAAATTTTTTCTTCGATCAATTTTATGAAGAAATTCCCTTTAAGAAAATTATCAAAAGAAATATCGTTAATTATAGAATAAATATTTTATCTATTATTCCCTGTGAGAAACGGAGAGAGAGAGAGAGAAAAATAAAAAATACAAAAGGTCAATTGACAGAACATTCATAGTATATTCATATGTCAATTGATTCAGCAGGAAGTTCTTCCGTTCTTCTCTCGTGTCTTTGTCTTTATAGTAATAGCAGCAGAAGGAAATAATTTAAACGAAGGACATACGTTTCTGAATTACTAACACAACCCCCTCCATTGGCATCCAAACGAATGATAAGATTAAAAAAGTGGGCTGAAAAATACAAATCTATTAAGATTCTTAATTTATAAACTTCTTCCGGCCCCACCACGTGATTCATATTCATTTATTTTAAATATACATATATAGATATGCATTTAAATCGAAAGAAGAGCGATTAAATAATCATGATGCTGGGATAATTATTTACAAAAAAAAAAAAAAATTCTCGGCACAGATTTAGTTTTCGAGAACAATTAATATTCATTGGTATTAAAAAAGCAAAAGCAAATAAGATGATACTGTAAATATACAGTAAAAAGCAGAATTTTTTTAATTTATATCAAAACATAATATAAATTTTTTTTTTTTAAAGAGAAAAGAAAAAAAACTTCAGGCTTAATAATAATTATATCTGAAGTGCTTTTCTCTATTTGTAGTTAATTAAGCGTATTAATAATAATTATAACTCCAATTATATATTATCAGTAATTATAATAGGTATTTATAATTATTATAATCACATTTAATAAAGCGGAAAATCAATATTAGCGGAAAGAAAAATTCCAAAGCAATAATGAGAACAATAGACACATTAGAGGTTATGAAAAATCCACAGCATTGTATATATATATATATATATCTATATACATTTTGCCACAATCATTTTATCATTTATAGCAATAAATTCAATCATTTTCATAAAGCAAATATTTATAACTTAATGGAATAAAATTCCTATAAAAAAGAATAAAATTTGCAATTATCTCAAGGTCAAATTTTACACCCACTATGCAAAAAAAAAAAAAAGGAAAAATTTTCTCTGAATTCACATGTACATTTTTCCTAATTAAAGCAAAAAAAAGCACAGTTGATAAATACAAAAAACTATTATTTTGTTTGAATGTAAAAATTTGATACAAAAAGAAAACAAAAAAAAAAATACGATATCGACCTCGTGGTGTCAAGATACAATGCGCGTGAATCTTATATATTAATAAAATAAAGAATTATAATCTTACCTGCATACTGTCAGCTGATATAATTTCTCCAGAAAATTTTTGTGCCAGTTGTATACTTAATTTTGTTTTTCCAGAACCTGTAGCACCAAGAATCACAAGAATTGGAACACGAGACATTTCTTTCTCACAAATATCCGCCATTACTGTTATTAACTGTAACGGCGCATGCGCGCAATTGCTCACATATCACGTGACTTCTGTGCGCACTCGAATTTAAATTCAAAAATCATATTAACTTAAAATCAATATTATTAAGTTAATCTTTTCAAAAACAAAACAAATATATAATTCGAATGAAATAAATAAAATAGAAAATAAACAATATTTTATAAATAAATATATATTTTAATAATTTAAAATAGAGAAATTATTAAAATTAAAAAACATGTTTAATAAAAAGTAAAAATTGTAATTATTAAAAAAAAAGAAAAAAAAATGCAATTTGTAATTATTGGAAAATTAAGATGTAATATGCGTATGAACGAATTAGTAAATATTGAAAAAAAAGAAAATTAAAAAAGATTCTCGTTTCTAGGTAAACAGAGTTCTTTATGTCATTTTTTCTTGCAAACACACTTATGAAAATTAATGTTGAAAGTAAACATATAAGACTAGTTGCTTAGCCTTGGCTGATTTTTGTGTTCTAAAGGTTCTTGTGATTAGACAAAAAAAAATATATATATATATATATAATGCAAACCAGCTGTTTATTTATAAACAATTTTATTTTTTTAAAAAATATTATTTTCAAAATATTTCTTAATTAATTATTAATAATTAAAAATAGAAAATAAAAATTAATTACTTTATATAAACAATTTTATTTTTTTAAAAATATTATTTTCAAAATATTTCTTAATTAATTATTAATAATTAAAAATAGAAAATAAAAATTAATTACTGTATATAAACAATTTTATTTTTTTAAAAAATATTATTTTCAAAATATTTCTTAATTAATTATTAATAATTAAAAATAGAAAATAAAAATTAATTACTGTAAAAATTTAATTAAAAATTAATAATTAATTAATTAATTATAAAAAATATAATTTTATATATTATATAAATGTTTATACTTAATAGTTAATTTTAATTTTTTTTATTTTTTAATTAAAATGATCTCTTAATTTACTAATTAAATAATAATTTTTAAATTTGCATTTTAAAATCATTTCTGGTCACAATCTTATATAAAATTTGTTGGCTATTAATAAAAGAAAATAAATTCCATGACTCATTGGTAATCTCAATTTAAGAAGCTTACATTAGTCAAGATCATTTCAAAGAAACAGACTCATTGCAAAGTTTTTTTTTTCATGACACATCGAATAACATTTTAAAAAAAAAAAGATCCTTCGTTAATTAACAAAAAAAATAATTATTCTGAATTTTTCTAAGAAACAGTATATTTGTCAGAGGTGTTGAACTCAATTTTTTTTTTGAATTCTAATTTATTCATATTTTATTTTTAATTTAAATATAGTAATTTTTTTTCTCATTTTTAGATAAAAATAGAATTTTTTTTTTATTGCAATTAACAAGTTATAAATTAAATAATTAAAAATATAAGGACAAAGGGAAAAAGGAATCGAAAACACATTAAATAAATGATACATCTTTTATTTATATATTCATATAAATATATATAATACATAAATACGTATACATAAAATGTCTATGTAATTATATATATTTATACACTATAATATTTTGAAATATAAACGTCAAGGAACTGTTTGAGCCATACAAAAAAGAAACGACGACAAAAGATATACAATATTCTTCAAAATCTTTTATCAAAAAATTCGTGGCAACTTTTATTTTATATATATATAAAAAAAAAAAAACGAGAAAAAAAGGATATTTAAAAGTCCACTGCACCAACCAAAATGATCAACGACTATATATTGTTTTTTTTTTTTTTTTTTTTTATTAAAATTTTCTTAAAAAAAAAAAAATTTTTTTTTAGTCATTGATTATTTGGCGGGGAAAAAAGCATATAACAACCGTAAAACTTAAGTACAACAAAATTTTTAATTTTTTTTTTTTTTTTCATTTTTTTACTTTTATAAATTTTTATTACAAACAAGCGCGTTCTTTTCCTGTACAATAATATATAATAAATGTATAAATATTACTTCTAGCATTAGTTTTAACTTCTGGTATAAACATTATTTTTCTTTATAGTAATCTATACGTTCTTTTTTGTGTATCGCTTAAATTTCGCTTAAAAGCGACATTTTTACACAATGTTTTTTTTTTTTTTTTTTTTTTATTTTCTTTTCCTATTATATCTGGCAAAAAAAAAATATATATATATATATTTATAATATGTATAAACTCTTAAATAAGCAAGTGCTGTGAGAAGTGCAATCAAAAAATCGTCGAGTAAAAAATTCATTCAGAAATCAAAAATAAAATCTGAACAAGCATCATAAAACATAATAAGATTACAAAAAAAAAGGGACAAATGTCAACGGTTTAAATTTTCATATTTATATATAGTTTATATATTTCAAAATGCTTAATTATTAAAGATTTCATAAGAAATAATTTTTATTTTTCGATTTCTTATATATATATATATAAAATGAAAAAATGAGTCAAACATCATTTAAATAGCATAATTTGTTTCTTTTTGCAAATTTTCTGATCTATTTTATTTTTTTCCATTTCTTTTTTTATTTTAAACAATTTTTTTTAAATATATATATATATATATATATATATATATATATAGAAATCAGGCATACCTGAAAACGTATAAAAATAAAATGACAAATACAAATATCGCTCTATTATTATTAAAAAAAAAAAAAAACCTAACATTATGTAAACAATATAATTAATCTAATTCTCTAATTTTTTTTCATTATTCATTTTTTTAACGTTTCTTTGAAAAAATCCAATCACACGTGTACAAGCGTTCAATTCTTTTTTTTTTTTTTATTTATTCACTCAAACTCATTTTGCTTTTCATAATTATTCTTAACAAGCGCTTTTAATCAGTTATAAAATGTATCCATTTTTTTTCATATATATATTTTTTTTTTTTTTTTTTAGTTGATGTAAAAAAAATTATTTTGAGTAAAGTGAAATGAAATATGAAAAAAAAAATTCATTAAGTTTTAATTTTATTTAAATTAATTATTTTTCCCATTTTATATGAATTTTTTAACTAAATAATTAAATTTGATATTTAGTTAATAAATTTTTTTGTCATCACTTTTGGTTTTTTATTTATCGAATTAATAACTGTACTACGTGACTGGCAGGTACGTTTTACACTTTTTTTTTTCTTTTTTCCTTTTTTTTTTTTTTTTTTTTTGAATACGATGAAACGCGATTTTTGAATATCTCTCCCTAATAAATTAATGAGTTAAAACATTTTATTTGTGCTAGTATTTTATGCGATAGTGTATTATAAAAATTCGGCGTAAAATCTCATCATGATTTAAAAAGAAAAAAAAAATCACCTGATTCAGGTTTTAATTTCTTTTTTTTTCTCTCAAAAATAGGCGTTTGTCATTCAAGTAACAATCGCAATGTTTAAAAATATTTACAAAAAATCACGTTTCATCGTTTTTTTTTTCTTTTTTTTTTTGAAACAAGGTTTTCAAGAGATCATTAATATTCCTTTTTTTTATATTAACAATGAATCATTGATCTCTGGAGATTACCTCAAGTCATTGATCTCTGATTATAAAATTGGAGGAGAAAATCTTTTTTGGCTTTTACAAAAAAAAAAAAAAAAAAAAAAAAAAAAAAAAAAAACAGAAAAGAAGTTTGAATTTTGCTCAAATTTTTTTTTTTATTTCCAAATATCACAAATAATCTTCTTTTTCATAAATTATATCTCATATTATATTTTGAAAATAAATTTTTTTTTTCTTTTATTTTTCTCGATAAAAAACGTCCTCATTTTCATTTTACAATAAGAAAAATATTAAAATATTTTTTTTTTTAAAGTTTCACAGTAAAATAACAATTTCATTTTAAAAATAATAATGATAAACAAAAATTGAAAATGAAGACGTTTTACTTTCTCCAATTTATTTATTTTTTTAATTTCTCTCTCTATGCATATATATATATATAAAGTGTAGAAAAATATGGCAGGCCAATAGTTTCAACAAAGATTGAAAAAAAATATACTAAATTGTCATGAAATTATTTGATAATTAATCGCATGAAAATAGAGAGAAAAAAAAATTAAATCTCAATTATAAAATTTCTTTGAATAAATATATATATATATATATATATAGATATATATATATTATAATGTGAAAATGACAAAGTGTATATGTATATATATAAAAAAAAAAAATTACAAAATAAGGGAATGTAAATTTTGATTATGACTTTGGTATATTTTTCTTTTATATATAAGAAACATGTTCCTCAAAATTCCGGTAAGAATAATTGAAGAAGAAAAAAGAGGGGGGCAAGGGGGGGGGGGTCGGAAATGTTAAAAGATATGAAACGGTCATATTATTAATCTTGTTTCCCGGGTATAAGAATTTTTTTTTTTTCATTATGATAGCGCCTTTCGTTGTTGAATTACTAGCGTTTCTACAATCTTCATTGGCTAAACCAACGTGTACTAAACTGTATAAAATATAATATCTATATATGAAGCACTTCAGTTACTGTTCAGGTCTTAGGCTTTTGTCAGTTGAATCTTAGTTTTTAAAATTTATATCTATTTTTTTATTAATTTTTTTTTTTATTTTTTTTTTTTTTTTTTTTTTTTTTTTTTGAAAAATTGTGTACGCGAAAAATTTTCACACTCACTTTTTTCCCACTGCAAACATTCATTATTACTTTCATTCGCACTTGTGTTCTCCATAAATTTTTATCGCCTGTGTGTGTGTGTGTATTGTTTTTTTGTAAATGTATATAAAAACTGGAAAAATATTTATTTTAGTAAAATAATTATTATCAATTTTGACAAATCAAATAAATATTTCATAAATTTTTAGTTTTGATATAAAAGAGAGAGAAAAAAAAAATTTTATCAAATGGAAAAATTTATTGGATTTAAAGAAAAATTTATTATAAAAGTTTGCAAAAAAAAATATTTAATTTGACGAAGAAAAATTTTTGTTCATATATATATATATATATATATATTATCTAATTTGTTAAGTAATTATTTGACTGATAAAAATATTTTCCCAGTGTTAATTGATTAATATTTATCTGTGACTATACATTCTCTATTTCAACTTTTGCATTTACTGAAAAAAAAAAATTGTTTAAAAATTGAATACTGTTATCTATAAATATAATGAACACATTTTTTCTCTCTCACTCACTCTCTCGATTTATTCCATAACTTTCTCCTCTTTCCTCGTTTTTTTTTTTTATTTCTCCCTTTCTCGCACAGCACTTGCGATCACCTTAGAATTATTTTTATTATGTGTGTATATATATATATGTATATATATACGTTGGTAATAATCCGATTTGATAAATTACCTAAAGTCGATACGCGCATTTCTTTCTAATTAAAGTTCGTTTTTTTTCGAAAATATTTTTAAAAAAATAAAAAAAAAAGAAAAAAAAACCTTATAAGTGACAATAATGTAAAAAAGTCGTATGTAAGAAACATCAATGCAATGGTATAATTAACTAAAATAATAACAATAATAATAATAATATTAGCATTCAATATTTGATCAGTAATTACTTACTGATTAGCGAATGTAATAGATATACATATATATTTTTTATATATGTAGAAAACTTATGTACAAGTACGTGTATCAAACTATAGATATATATATACAATATACACGTAAAAAAAACGTATCCAAAAGCCACGAAAGAATATCGAAATTTCAAATTATAAAAAAAACTTTTTATATATCAATCGATATTCTTACGTATCAATTTGTTTTTCTAATCACTAGACAAGGGATTTAAAAATGAATGACGATATATATATATTTTTTTTTTAACATTACTTAAAAAATCTTTCAAAAAAAAAAAAAATTTTTACCAGAGCAAACGTATAAAAAATGTATCTACCAAAAAAAAAAAAAAAAAAAAAAAAAATTATTCAAAACGAGAAAATCGCTTTTTTTTTATTAAACTAATCAAACTTTGGTCCAGCCTACTGTAAAAAAAAGAAATCACTCACCGATCTCCAAGTCCAGTGAACAATAATTGTTTTTTTTCACTTTCTTTGAAAAAAAAAATATATATGAAACTAAAAACACAAATGGATAAATGTGATGGCGTTGAAAGACCAAAATTAAGTTATTTTATATATAAAAAAAAAAAAAAAAAAAAAAAAAATAGAAAAAAAATAGAGAAAAACAAACAAAATGCTCATTATTAATATATATATATATATATATATAATAGTTGACCTATCTATCTGACTCACGCGTTACTGTGTTTAACATTTCTCTGTGCGTTATTTCTTTCCTCTTTCTAATAATGTGCAAATCGCACAGCGATTGCTCCATACAAACAAACGAAAAAAAAAAGAAATTCAAAAATTCTTTCCTTATTAGAAATGTAAACACATTTTTTTTTTCTTCATCATCATCATCATCATCATCATTTCATTAAATACAAAATAATTCATTATCTATTTTGTACCTATCTACTTATATGATATATCAAGACAAAAAAATTTGTCGACAACTTCGCGAAAGTTGTTTTTATTTCTATATACAAAGTGTATATCTCTTTTATTAGGCCCCGAACTACAAAAAAAAAATAATAACCTCGTCATAGAGGATTATTATAAAGCAATAATTCCCCTCTCTGTCCAAATAATCAGAAAAATATGTATACTTCTCAGGACAAAAGAGAGAGAGAGAGAGAGAGAGTTTAGCAAAGATAATAGGAAGCAATCTTCATTTTATTTATTTTTATTTCATTTTTCCATTTCCAGTACGAATTTTTTCACAATTGACCAAAAAAAAAATCAAGATTTACGATTTTGAATATTGACAAAAAAAAAACAAACAAACAAACTATGATTTTGTGAGTAATTGACAAATTTTTATAGAAATGAAAAATGTTTATAATTAAAAAAAATTCGCAATATCAAATTCGAAAATATTGTCAATATTCAAAATCGTCTCTTAAATTAAAAAAAAAAAATCAATTTTATTACTCAAAAATCATTAGACAAATCAATATTCAAAATATGTACTCTTTTTTTATCATAATTTCTTAAATTCATTATGTTGAATCAAAATATTAATATTAAATATTATAAAAAAAATTTCAATTCGTACTGAAAAAAAAAAGAAACAAAATCAACGCGACAGTTTCTCCTCACTACAGAGATCTAATATCATAAAGATCAGGAGTCAATATAAATGAGAAGGAAAAAAAAAAAAAATTCTTTTATCAACTGTATGTAATGCCTCTGTGGTCCAGCCACTTTTTTCGAGGTCTGTGGAAAAAAAAAATGAATCCTGTACAAAAAAAAAAAAAAAAAAAAAATTCGGATTCAGAGCGCCGAAACATCTGAACCACAGCCGTATTAAATGCTATATATAACACTAACAAGAAAAAAAAAAAAGAAGGAAAAAAAAAAAAATTATGAAATGAATCCCTATGTATATTTTTCAAGACATTCAACGTGCGACACGACACTCTCTTCGCAATTGAGAGACCCTGGCTAATAGCCTCTCTTGTTCTAATCGTAATTCATGGATCTCAAGATCCTGCTTATAAAGCATATCACAGTAGGAAGCTGCCTGTCTCAATATTGAAACTTTGGGAGCTTTTTCATTGCGTTCAACACCTGGTACCATTAGTCTCAAATCTTCAAATGCTTTTCTCAGATCTATCCGCCTTTGTCGTTCCATATTATTGTGCAAACTTCTTTTTTCAGTGTCTGGCTCTGAATCTGATGAACTTCTTGATGGTGGAATACATTTTATTCCATTCGTTGGCGCTAATGGAATATCATCAATATCACTATATTTGTTGCGTTTTTGATGTTGTGACAACGACAACGACGACGACGACGACGATGATGATGACAATGATGGCGATGTTGTTGCTGTTTTACTACTGCGTTTTGAACGTTTTGTCTCTGCCGGTGGTGTTATTGGCGTTGATGTTGGTGCACCACGTTTTCGTGCATTTGCTGCTAATGGCGGTCGACCACGTGGCCTTGTTGGCTTTTCTTTTAAAACAGTTTTTACCACTGATGTTTGAAATTTCGATTCAACTTCTATACTTGGCATTGTGGGTAAAACGACCGTTTGTCTACAGGGCTTCTCATAGGACACCACGTCAATTTCTTCCTCTGTAACAAAAAAAAAAAAAATTGTCTTGTACTTTCTTTAATTTTCAATTTTATATAGAAAAAAAAAAAAAATTTTCAATCAAAAATTAATAAAAAAAATTTCTTCAAAAATCGTTTATCATAAACTTATTTCAGTATAATTTTTTTTTATTGTTCATGAGCCAAAAGTTTTGAACGTTCAAATGAACAAAATTTTTTTTGGAACTTCTTTAAGTACGAATTTTATTACAAAATATTGTTTAAATACCTAAAAAAAATTTATTAATTTAATAATTATTTAATTCACTGTTTTATTTTACATTGACATAATAATTTTTAAATTGAAAAAAATATTTCATTCATTTGAACGTTCAGAACTTTTGGCTTTTTTTTTCATCAAAAAAACGTTGCAAACATTTTTTTTTTCGATAAAATTAGAAAATAAAAATTACAACACTAAGAAAAAAAAGAAAACTAAATAAATTAAAATTTATCTTCTCAAAAAAAAAAAAAAAGAAAATGATGAAATAGTGAAAAAATATTTTTTTCTTCAATTCTAGACTTATCACAAATTTTCCAAGGCTGGAAAACAATTTTCCTTATCCCATATTTGGTTATATACTACTCTTATATTAATACTTCAAAACTCAAGGTTTTAGATAAACGATTTTTTTTTTTTTTTTTTTTTTAAATCACTAAAGCAATAATCTGTAATTTTAGTTTCTTGTTATCATGATAAATTATTCGATATTAATCGCCAAATGTTTAAAAGGCCATTGGCCTCAAAATTTATAATTAATATTTAAAAATTTCAATAAATTTAAAAAACCTGTAACCTCTGAACAGGTGTTGTTTCGATTAATTCTTCAAAAAAAAAAATTAAAAATAAAATTCTTTTCAAAGAAAAAAAATTCCATATATGAGGAAGCCTGATAAATGTTTAATGTGTGACAACATATTATTTAATCAGCTGAACTTCCCTTTATCTAGTTTTTTCATTAAAAAGAAAAAAAAATTAGTTTAATAAAATTTTTTTTTTTTCTAAAAGAAATCAACTATTATACTAAAATTTGAAAAACTTTATTTTTAATAGAAAATTCTTTTCTTTGAATAAATTTTTTTTGTTTTTGCAATTTGGTGTTAAAAAAAAAAATTATTTTAATAATTGTTAACAAATAATTGAAAGGTGTATATATATGCAGATTTTGATGGTGACTAACGCGTCAAGATATCGGAGTCATTTTAAATGCTCGTATCCAATTTAGTGCGACGCGTGACGCATAAATCCATGCACATCCACTGGGAAAGTAAAAATATGCGTGACCTTGAAAGTCCGTATGGCTCTTTAAGCCACGTGTCTACGCACAAGAGTTTCTCGTGTTATATGATATTGTGGGCGTTTCCGTAAATTAAACATGTGTGAGAATTACACACAAATTTATATAATGTACTATAATACGAAAAATCGGTCATTGGACTTGAGAGAAAGATAGAAATAGTCGCAATTCGCATCCCTTTAAAATATTGCAAAAAATTACATAATCCATATGTATTGATGACAAAATTATTATAATTTTATCAATTTCCCAAAATTAAGGAAAACATTAATCAATAATGTCGATAAGAAATTATTATCAAAAATAAAAATTTTCTAGAACAAAAATTATAATTATATATATATATATATATATAAAATTTATAATTTATAAATATTTTTTTATTTTTATTTATATATATATATATTTATATATCTGCATTGTGATAACCGCATCATGTTAAATTGTCATTTTTCAAACTAGTTTATTTCAAAGACTTCATTACAAATCATTTATGAATGACTTAATCGTTTACAGTTTCGTTTAACAAATATAATGAATGATTTAACGAAAGAAGAAATTATCAACCACGTTATATGAATGACATTGATAAAGGTTGAAAAAGAAATAATTTTTTCAAAATTTATCATCATTTAAAATATTTCAAATTTTTTATTTCTTTTCACATTTTGTGAAAAAATGTTTTTTCGGAAAAAAACTTCTGTTTTTTAGATTTAATTATTATGAACAAAAAAAAAAAAGTGTCATGTACATACTAACTACTGTAATTTAATAATCTATTCATGCTCACTAACCCAAAAATCTTTAATAATTTAAAAATCAATAAAAATTTTTCTATTAAAAAAATAAACCATGAAATAATTTTTTTTTTTTTTTTTTCTTTGTTTCTTTCGAACTTACCGGTTTCTGAACTAAACCCAGTTGAGCCTATAAACAAAAATAAAAATAATAATTATAAAAAATTTTATTTGAGAAAATTGTCCGTAAATTCTAAATTATACAAATTTTTTTTTTTTTTTATTTATAAACGCAGTTTTATTATATTTAGACTATTATTTATGATCTACTGTTTTATATCAGAAACTTAAGAATTTGTTTATAATCCCTAAAAACTAGAACTGTTTATATATATATATTTTTTTTTCTCGAAGCCCTTAAAACGGAAACGGAAGAAATTTAACTGTTTCTTTATATACAATGAGGAAGGAATTTTACAGAGGGTTTTGCATATACATATATATATATATATATATATACACGTGCAGCATGTCAGTCTAATTTATATAATAAATGATCTTTCTAAAAATAATTTTCCCTTTCATTATATTCAAATCTCATATTTCACAAAAAAAAAAAATATCTTCTTTTCGATAACTGTTTCTTTTATTGCAAAGTTTTTCATATATAAATGACCAAACTATAAAAAAAAGAAACTAATGCTTCCGTTACAATTTTATTTTTTTATCACCTCATGAGATAATTCAACAGCAGGAAGCAAGATTCAAATAATTTATATAAGATCTATTTTTATATCACATTAAAAAAAAATTTTTTATATAAATTTTGTTATCAAATTAAAAAAGAATTTATTTTTTTTATGAAACACTTGTCTATAGAAGCGACACATGGACAATTGTGGAAAGTTTATTTATCAAGAGAGAGAGAGAGAGAGAGAGAGAGAGAGAGAGAGAGAGAAAGAAGGGCTAAGATGACTTACAGGGAGAGAAAAAAAATGGTGGGAAAACGAAATGACAAAATCGTATATATATATATATAGTGGGGTCAATGTCGATTTCAAGCAGCACGTGCAGACTCGTAAGCATGACCTTGAAGGTCAGTTCGATGACTTTTATCTCTCTCTCTCTCTCTCTCTCTCTCTCTCTCTCTCTCTCTCTCTCTCTCTCTCTCTCTCTCTCTCTCTCTCTCTCTCTCTCTCTCTCTCTCTCTCTCTCTCTCCCCCTCTCTCCCTCTCTCTCCCTCCCTCCCTCCCTCTCTCTCTCTCTCTCTCTCTCTCTCTCTCTCTCTCTCTCTCTCTCTCTCTCTCTCTCTCTCTCTCTCTCTCACTTTTTCTCTCAATTCCTCCCTCTAAACGCAAAAAAAAGTGCGTCGCTACGGATCGAACGAGGGTTTCTTCCCCGTTTGGTTTTTAGGGGCGTCGCGACGCCCTTCGTCCACAATGATATCGAACGCCTTCAACACAACCCAACACCGCAATTCTTGCCACCTTTCAAATTTTTTTTACACATTTTTTATCCGAAAAAAACGAGCATGATTTAAAATTAATCATTCATAAATTAAAAAAAAAAACTCATGTCTTATAAATTAAATCTGTAATTTAAAAATTAATCCCAAAAAGACTTCTTCTTTTGTTTAAAACGAAGCTTAGTTGTTTTTTTTTTTTTTTTTTTTGGAGGTATAGACGATAAGTTGCTATCAAGACGGGTACACGGAAAAGATAAAAAAAAGTAATTTTTACTATACTTTCAGAGTAAAATGGGAAATGTCCGAAGTTTCTTAGCATCTCTGGCAACTTTTACTCCAAAAATAGTCAAATTTATTCCAGAAATAGTAAAAATTACTAAGGCAACAGTAAAAACTAGAGAAATATTGAATTTTACTATTTTTGGAGTAAAAGTTGTCAGAAATGCACAGAAACTTCGAACAGAAGTTTTTTACTTCTCGTTTTACTCTGAAAGTAGTAAAAATTACTTTTTCTTTTTTTCCGTGTAGCAAAAATGGTTCATATATATGTGACGCTCCACGAGAGAAGGGACCTATCTCCAAAATAATATTAGGCTTAGTTTTCATGTACGGTGCATGGAAAACTGAGCCTAATGTTATTTCGAGGATAGGTCCCTTCTCTCGTGGAGCGTCACAATTATGGTTTATGAATTTTTAAAATCAGAAATTATAGAGAGAAAAATATATATTTTTGGGTGTGATTTTATTTAAAGAAAGATATAGACTAATCAACTTTTTTCGATTATATAGACTTCTGTCGGAAAGGATTTTGAAATGGGATATATATATATATACAAGTGATTGTATAAACCGAGTTTCTAACTTCGGTATAAACCGCAAGTACTCAATCAACTGAATCGAAATGAGGAAAACTATTTCCGATAGGAAATCTCACTTTTCAGTATATATAAATAAAGTTGTAACATACAATTTTAAATTACTAAATAATACAATAATTGCTTGAAAATAATTTTCAATTTATTTAAATAAAAAGAAATCATTACTTGTCCTCTAAATTTTTTTTTTCTAGAAATAAGGTTAATTAAATGTCACGTATCACAATGAGAAAGAGAGAAAACTAAATCTATATAAAAGGAAAAGTGGGAGATGCGTTTTAGTTTGAGTCATAGAAACATGTCTCTTCCTGGTTTGCTCATTTCTCCATAGATATATACATATATATATATATATATATATATATACAGTAAATTCTATATAAAGCCCACACGGTTTCATACAACACGTCCTCCCTCGTTGTCTCAGAAACCCAATCCAGTTACGAAAGTGGTACCTCTCTACCTACATATAAACTTTTCTCCGTCGAGAATATTGCACACTAATACAAGAAAAAAAAAACACCCACGTATAGCGCGCAAAAACCACCTCAACACCTACACACCATTCAGGTGCATTCAACTGCGACATCGCGATACTTTCCTTCATTGAAACACACAGCAGCAGCAGTAACAGCAGTTGAGAGATGGGATATCTATAAGTAGGAAATTGACTCAGAGAGAAAATGCCACTTGGTCAGAGATCGAAATAGAGTGTTAGTTAGAGAAGAAATGTAATAAGAATGAAAAAAAAGACAAACCAAATTCAAAGTGTGACGATGATATAGAGAAGTCAAAAAGAAGAAAATAAACATCCATAGACATGAAAAGAGAAAGGACTCGGATCTAATTTTAAACTCATTTTTAAAAATTCGACGCTTTTTCCAAAAGAAAAAAAAAAAAAGATAACTGAACCGTACCAAATGAGAGAACCAAATGAGGCGAGAAATTGCTGCAAAATGAAAAAAACAATTACTATTTTTGCAATTTTATAATCTGATTTTTGGACTCGTAATTAACGTGAAAGAAAAAACCGCCCCCCCTAAATTCACGATCAACATTCCAAAACAAGGTTTTGTGAGTCTAAACGGTTTGAAATTCTGATTCCTAGATCAAACCTTCATTCGTTGAACTGTCAATGTTTTTCCCAATGGACTTTCTCATTTATCATCCCAACAAAAATTGTTTCGGCAAATTTTATGTGAATTCTATCTCATCATATATTTTGCAACATTACATACCAGAAATAATCACAGATTTGAAAAAAAAAATTTAATTTTTTTTTATCTAACAATTTTTATTTTTTCCGCGGAATTTATCTATATACTATATGTTTCTCTTTCTCCCACGCGTGCAAAGTTAATGAATGAACTTATATATATATATATATATATATATATATATATGAATGAATTGCGTCATCACGTTCGGGGATGCGGTTTCAAGTACAGTCCCAGCGTTAAAATCGAAATCACATCATTATATATAGTTAATGACTTCCTGTATTTTAAAAGAAACGATTTAACGCATGGCACGCGCTTCCAATTTTTCGAATTTTTGATTATAACTCACTAATATACTTCAAACTATTTGCACTTTAGTCTCCTTTTTCATTATTGCAATAGAAAACACACTAACAAGAATAAATTGCACAACCGCGAGGAAAAAAAAAATTCTTGCACAATTTAAACGCGACATCGTCCTCGATTTCCCTTCGATAATGATAAGTGTTCCACTTGTTTAAAAGAAAATATCTGATCAGTTCTTGGTGAATTTTTATCTTTTCATTTTCTTCGATTATATAACATTTTTAAACTCTAAATTATACACGGAAAAAAAAGAAAAAGTAATTTTTACTACTTTCGGACTAAAACGGGAAACTGTTCGAAGTTTCTGCGCATCTCTGACAACTTTTACTACGAAAATAGTAAAAATTACTATACGGAAACAGTAAAAACTATACAGAAGTAGTGAATTTTACTATTTTTAGACTAAAAGTTGCCAGAGATGAGCAGAAACTTCGAACAGTTTCCGTTTTACTTTGAAAATAGTAAGAATTACTTTTTCTTTTTTTCCGTGATATAGTATTTGTAAAGAAAAGATAAGTAACAAGTATACTACCCTCTCTTAAAACATCTGCAATTTACGATTTGGTTTCCAAAATTTTTACATTGGCATCAGTTTCTTTTTTTTTAGGCATACCATCGCGTATACGAATACAAAATTCCAGAAACGTAGAGAAGCGCAAACACAAATGTAAACGTACTTGCATATTTTTGAATGTATGAAATTTGCATTAAGAAACGGAACCTAAAAGGTGCGGTTCAAAAAGGAATATATAACCATGATCGAGAGACACTCATTCAAGACTTGTTATTATATATATATATACATTTGAGAATTCCCCGAGTACACGGAATCAATTAGTAACTCCCTTCTTCTTTTTTTTTCCATTAAGCTTCAGAGCCCCATCGCCTACATGCGTATCTAATAATATATATGTGTACACGCAACAAATAAAAAATTTTCTTTATGCTGATTCCACAAATTAAGACGCGTGTGTTTTTACGCTTATACACTATAGCGGTAAAATACAAAAGAATTACTATTCTTTTGTTCATAAAACACGCTAAGCGAAAAATGCATTTGTGGAATCACCATTAGAGCACGTGTTTATTATAGCTATGGTACAAACATTTATGAAACACATAAAAAAATAGGCTTAAAAACAATTTCCTAAAAGGAATAAGTAAAAAATATTAATCCTTAGCAGAACACTATCTCTTTAAATCTGAATCAGTCATATTTTACTGATTAGCAGTAGAAATCTACTAATTGCCATAGCGAGAATTG